TACAGCTGGAATACTTTTGTCTCTCATTTGCTTCCATATTATACACACAATGTAGTTGCATGTGGTTTCAGTACCTACAAACAACATGAATCAAACAACATACAGACTCATTAACTCATACAGCATTTAATACTGTATTGTCACAGTCTTTTCTTGCTGATGTACGCTACAGTATTTTACTACAGCAATATATTGATAATGCTACTACTGATTCAGCTGTGTAATGGAGCCAGCAGTAATAGTAGCGATACCCATCACCGCCACTAGGGGCCGCTGGCTGCTGGCTAACTCGCTGTAAGCTAACAGAGCTGGTTTATTCATTGTAGCGATCCGGGGTGCTCCGACGCTGCTGGAAATGCCTCAGAAGGTAAAGGAGCCTGGCAGTTACCTTTGTACGAGCAAAAAGCTTTGTGGATAAAAGTTTCTGCAAACTAAGAAGTTCTTGGATACGGTTTGTGGTGAGCCTGAGGAACTGATGTTTACCGCTTGGACGGGGATGTTGTTCGGCTCCTCACAAGTTTAGACAGCTAACGCTACGCCGAATTTTGCTAACGTTAGCGCAACAGCGTTAGCCTAGCCTGCTAGGTAAATATTACGGCTGCCTCTCGGAGTTTGCTGCATCGTGTCCACGTTGTCAACGTAAGAACTGTGCCGTTAGTAGTCATTTTTTATCACAATTTTATTGAATATAACAGCAAGCTTCGCTCCCACGAGATGGGTGGGTTTTTGTTACGTTACACAGAAAGCTAACTGGCTAAGTTAGCCTGTTCGCATGCTAGCTGACATTAGCTAACGTTGCCGAGCCAGCCAGCAACTTCGGCAGGAGAGTTTCGGCGAGCTAACCACGACAGTATTGTCGCCCACAATCAACCTCTGCTGCTAGAAGCAGTCAAGCTGCAGTCATGTTTGAGATGGAGACACATATATCGTGCCTTTTCCCGGAGATCCTGGCCATTATTTTCAGTTATCTGGACGTTAAAGACAAAGGAAGAGTAGCCCAAGTGTGCGCGGCCTGGAGGGACGCGTCCTACCACAAGTCGGTGTGGAGGGGGGTGGAAGCCAAGCTCCATCTGCGGCGAGCTAACCCGTCTCTGTTCCCCAGTCTGCAGACCAGGGGGATCAAAAAAGTTCAGATTCTCAGCCTGAGGCGAAGTCTGAGTTACGTGATTCAAGGTATGCCGCACATTGAAAGCCTTAACCTGTGTGGATGTTTCAACCTCACAGACAACGGACTCGGACATGCCTTTGTGCAGGACATCCCATCCCTGCGGGTGCTGAACCTCAGCCTTTGTAAACAGATCACTGACTCCAGCCTGGGCAGGATCGCCCAGTACCTCAAAAACCTGGAGGTGCTTGAACTCGGGGGGTGCAGCAATATCACAAACACCGGCCTGTTGCTCGTTGCCTGGGGCTTGCACAGACTCAAGAGCCTTAACCTGCGCAGCTGCAGGCATGTGTCCGATGTGGGCATCGGTCACTTGTCTGGCATGACCCGCAGCGCAGCAGAGGGCTGCCTGTGCCTGGAGAAGTTAACCTTGCAGGACTGTCAGAAGCTGACGGACCTCTCTCTCAAACATGTCTCAAAGGGTCTAAACAAGCTCAAAGTGCTCAACCTCAGCTTCTGCGGAGGGATATCAGATGCAGGGATGATCCACCTGTCTCACATGACCCACCTGTGCAGCCTGAACCTGCGGTCCTGTGATAACATCAGTGACACAGGGATAATGCATCTGGCCATGGGCTCCCTCCGGCTGACTGGACTTGATGTCTCCTTCTGTGACAAGATTGGAGACCAGAGCCTGGCTTACATCGCCCAGGGGCTGTACCAGCTCAAGTCCCTCTCTCTCTGTTCCTGCCACATCAGTGATGATGGCATCAACAGGATGGTACGCCAGATGCACGAACTCAAGACCCTCAACATTGGACAGTGTGTGAGGATCACAGACAAAGGGTTGGAGTTGATAGCCGACCACCTGACCCAGCTGACAGGGATCGATCTGTACGGTTGTACGAAGATCACCAAGAGGGGCCTGGAGAGGATAACACAGCTCCCGTGCCTTAAAGTGTTGAACCTGGGACTGTGGCAGATGACAGAGAGCGAGAGAGTGAGGTGAAATCTCTCCTCTGTGGTGTACATGTGTGTCATTGTGTATAGTGCTCAGTTGTGAACTGAGGAGGACTGCCTGTATCCATTCTTAATTTTACCTTCTATACTGTGACTAAAAACAAGAAGAGGGACTCGGCATTGATCACTGGAATATTGTTCACCTGCGCTGCAATACTCCACTCCTAGTTTCCATCTTGTGCTCTCTTTTCATGATGTGCATTGTTTAATCTCAGCCTGTGTACAGTTCTTACTATCTAGCTACCTCACCCATCGAACACAGGAGTGCCTACTATCGCTGAATACTAGATTACATTGCATATTTTTGTGACTCACACACCAATGGAGATTTTGATATTTTAAAAACTCATTGCAGAAGAATAGCTAGGCATTTTAACTCTTAACAGAAAGGCTGGAGTACCTTGGATTGAAGTTTTGATATAATCTTTTGTTTTGTTTTGGCTGATGTATTTTTTACTTGTGTAACCAATATTTTTTTGTATTGAATGACTGTTGACAAAATTGTACTTCAAATTGAAGTGGGTGGATCACTCCTGTCCGTCTTTGTTTACCTATGTATAGTTGGCTATGTTTCATATTCCTGAGGAAATACGTATGTATCAGATGTTCCAGTATGCTACTCTGTCAAAGGTTTAACAACACAACTACAGTAAGGCGTAGTAATTAACAGCTGCCAAGGCTATATGCAATACCCTAAAACTGTTTAATCAGTGGTTTTTCTCCTGAGGAGCTTCCAACGATAGTGTCAGAGTATTTGTTTAAAAAAGCAGTAATTTAAGATTGTTTTATATTCATACAGTAGTGATATTTATGAATAAAGATGGCAAATATGTATAAGTTCTGTGTGTTTTACTTGTAGAGTTTGTAACAGTTTTACCAACTATTATTTGATTTATAATTATGACTATAGATCTCTTGTGCAGTTTAGACACCACATGAAATGTCTTTACTCTGGGAAACACAAGTCTTTATAGCAAAGTGTTTTGTGTATGATGCACAAGATAATCCAGAAGAATGCCTTCATGATTTCTTACTATTAGTATCACAGAGAGGTTACTAAAGATGGAAAGAGAACTAGAATATTGTACTCAAGTCAGAGTACTTGTGCAGACATTTAAGTATGTGAATGTAAAAAGTAGGTCAGTTAAGATGTACTCTGAGTACACATTCCTTTTTTAAAAGGGAAGAGGGGGAGGCATCTGTAGGCTGCGTTAAATGTCAATGTACACACTAGTGGAACATTATCAACATGACCTGTTTTGTCCAAACCCACAGTAAATTCCATTTCTGTCGACAGCTCTTTGCAACCTGAACATACAACTGATTATCAATCACTTTAGCCCACTTGCAAAGGAAAAAGACAAAACTCAGACAATAAATGGCCGACAATAAATAAAGTCTATGAACACCCTACTGGTTGCGGGTGCAAAAAGCATTATTAAGCTACACGAATGAACTAACTTGACACTTCTTATAGAATCACGAGCAGAGTAAAGTCATCACTAATGCAGACAGCATGGAGCTGTCTTAGACTACAGAAGTTGCAGCCACAAACTGCACAGTTTTTGTAGTAAAATGTCAGCTCAGTGCAGACAGTCACATTTGTCCAGCTCTTCCCTCCTGCACACACCTGCAACGTCTTCTTTGCTGCAGCTGGTGATTTTCTTCCCACACATTTTGTCACAACTGATTCATGTGACGTTTGTTTTAACTCAGGAACAGACATAAATTGAAATGTACCAATGTATGGCACTTGTGATTAAAAGTACTTAAGTAAAAGTAAAATTACAGAGTTTTAAAAGTACCCACAAAAAATCACGTTGTTGCAGCAGCAAGAGAAAATGTAATTTGTTACTTCCATTCTTGGCTACCACTAAATGAAATCTAGAGTGAAGAATGAAATGGAGATAATCATTAAATCATTTCACAGAGGTTAATACCAGTTCAACTTGGACAGCTCAAGGGAATTCACACCTTCTGCACCTTTCAACAACATTTAAACATTGGATGATGTTTGAGTATTTGTGTTAAATGAAAAAAGGTCAACTTTGAGAAATGTATTTTCACTTGGAGAACTAAGTGTGGTTCCTGTTGAATCCCACTGGTAGCAGAAAAACTTAGTGATACACAGCTGTGCACCAGAATGTGGGTTCAAAGCCCCATTTGCCAAGCTTCCACCCTGCTTTGCTACACTTGAGTAAGATCTCAGTGTCTTTCCTTACTTACTCTTAACTATTGTGCATGTTCCCCATGAGTTTGTGAGGACAAGGGGCTGTAATTATACCGACTACATTTTGGTTTCCACTAATAAATTTGTTACAGACTACCAGATGTAACCTCTAATTCAACTTTATTACAGCTGGCAATCTGAGTTCAGTCAGTGCTCGTCATCAGACTGGTTTAGGATATACTGTACTGTGTAGGATTTCCCTTAAAACAAACAAAAAAAAACAAAGTATAGACTCACACAGAAGTAATCCCTCTCAATCATCACTTATGACCCACTAGAAGTGTGTGTTTGTTATGACTGTGTACCCCCACAGCGCTCAGGTGAGGTCAGGGCTTTATAAAAAGGTAGCCACGATGTGCTTAACAATACACAGCAGGCATCCAAGACACAGCTACATAAAACTAAAATACATTGAGGCAAAACACCAAATGAGAGGGAATCTGGGGTTGGCTTCTACCTTAACTTGCACTGGCAAGCGTGTTTACAAATGGTAACCAACAATCCTGCATAGCAGATAATTAAAAGGTATACCATGCTACTACTATTAAAGCATGTAGGTGGAGCTTACAGTATAAGTAAGAAGTAAACAGTGATGTCTATCTTTTTGACTTGTTTTGGAAAAAAACTGCAAGAAACCAAGGCTTATAATTTATTTATTTACATACATACAAAATCCAAATAACTCACAAACATGTCTGTTTTGCTTTCTTTTTACACAGTTTTGATTCTTAGCACGAACAGACAGAAGGCAGTACATTTCTCATACAAATGCAAAAGAAAAGGAACAGATACCATGAACGTGACAGAAGCCCCTTAATCAGCTCTGTGTTCCTCAATAAGGAGTCGAGAAAAAGAGATGACGAGACATTAAGGCAAGGGCAGGGACACACAGGCCAAAGTAAGGGGTATTAAACACCTTAAAAATGCTCTCTTCTTCTCTCTGAACCCAGTGGTGAAAGGTGAGGGGTTAAAAAGGGACGGAGAGGAATTAACTTCCGCTCCGAGAGGTTTGACAGACAAGAGGTACAAAAACAAGCATCCAACTAACATCCTGCGAAACCAGTGGATGTGTTTTGTTTTCAGTGAGACACACTGTTAGTCCACTCAAATGAGTCTGTGACCATACACAGGAAGTTTGTTAGAAAACTTCCAGATGCAGTTTTGTTTTGTAATGTTATGTTCCTCGTATAACAGCAGGAGGGCCGTGACGGTTGGAGACTTATTTTTATCCATCAGGCGCAGTCTGCCTTTGACATCAACCAACAAAAAAACGTTGACGTAACAGGTAAGAAGAAAAGACGACAACACTGGAATCTCAGGATAATACATTTACATCACCGTGCGGTGAAAATATATAAAAAATGACAATTAGAAATAAATGCAAGAAAAGTACTCTCCCATCACACAGTCACGGTTTGAAAACATTTGTAGTTCACACGTTATTTTGACACAAAAGATTTTTTTTGACACTTCTTTCCTCAGTGTCTGCTGAGGACACTTAACTCCACGGTCATTTTGTTCAGAGCAGCTCGCTCTTCGAGATTCTGTGCAAACATTCAATGCATATCCATACAGTAAACATTTTTATATATATGTATTATATTTATATATATATCTCTATAGAACATGACTTTCCGCAAGTTATGGCAGTACTGTCACACACACACATTTTGCCCCGAGGACAAAATTAGACACAAAAGACAACTGCACTGCTTTTAACTTCTCAGGTTTTTTTTTTTTTTTTTTGAAGAATTCACAACACCTTCCACTTAATTACCTTTAATCAGTCACTGTACGTGTTAAATATCACGTTATTTACAAACTGATCTAAAAAGTCAAAATCTGCTGAAAAGTGACTTTCATTTCCTGTAAATGTAGATGCACTTAGTAATTAAAAACATCAGCCCTGAAGATTTCAAAAAAGACGATAAAGGAGGCATCACTTGCGTTTGTAAGTGAGCTGAAAATTACAAGAAAAAAAAAATGGGGCGTCGTTTGTATTCTTCGGTGATTCAGTCGACAAACTAAAAGATCAGGTGGGCTTTAAGTAACATCTATAGAAACTTTGGATGAGACTGAATGATCAGTGGATCAGATCAGAAGTTCTTACATCATGCCTTAGCACCAATATTACAGAGGAATAAATATCCCTGCATTAGGTCCAGTACTGATCTCTGTGCATGCTCCAAGGCCACTAGAACGTTCTCAAAGAAACATTGCATACCTCATAAACAAGTGGACGTTGTGTGCAAAACCATCTAAAAATTAATACGTCTCAGAGAATAAAAGCTTTTCTTTTTTTGTTTCCTCTCTCTCTCGTTTGTATTTGAGAACATAGTGTAACTAAAAGCTGACCTTTGATCGTCGTCAAAGCTCAGGCCTTGATCCCCCTCTCGTGCCAGTGACCCAGCCACAGACTACACAGTAAAAAACAAACAAACAAACAAAAAAAACGTACCTACAATTTAATCCTGGCTACAATTACGGATCTACAGCTTGGAGCTGGGAGAGAAACATTTGGAGAACATGCTGCATTTATATTTGGTTGAAAAGTGGCATTTCCTAAGTGTTCAGATATTCAGCCACCAGTAGCTGTGTATCTAACTAGTGACTCCAACCTGCTAGTTAGATAACACCGACTACATTACAAAATAAGCATCTACATGGCTCCATGAGTTACCCACTGAGCTGAGCTTCTCTCTGCTCCCCTCAAGATGTAGCAGCTCCCCAGTTCTCTAAGGCTGAAGTGCTTTCCTGCCCCATGTAAGGAATATGTTTACCCCTTTTGACTTGAAAGATATGCAGGAGGAATCTAAGGGGTAAAAGACTGAGATAGAAGTGGGTGAGGTAACTGTGCTTGATCTAGCAGTTCCTGCTGTGAATGACGACGTCTAGGGAGAGGGAGGTTGGCAGTATGCTCCAAGACTTTGTGCGGAAGTTTGCTTCTTTCTTCTCATATCCTCTCTGTCCCAACGCACCTGTCCCAGACTTACAGGTGTGCAATATTTTTTAAGTATACTACAAGCAAAAAATCGAATTTTGGTGAGTTCACAAATGCTTATAGGAACAGTGTGTAAGATTTGGGGGGATTTAGTGACATCTAGTGGTGAGGATTGCAGACTGCAACCAGCTGAAACTTCTCCTGGGTTTAATTCCTTCATTGTTCATTGTTCATGGGGTTTTAACTAGAAGAAGATTTAACCGCAGAGGTCTCTTCCTCTCCAAAACAAACAGATCAGGAGATTAAGCTGGCAGAAACACTGAATAAAGCGGTTTCACATTAAAAAAAAAAAAATTGTTTTAATGATGCTTTCTTTGCTGAGGGGCTGTTAACTACGGTGGCCAACGTGAAAATGTGAATGGCCCCATCTAGAGCCAGTTTTTGGTTTGTTCATTTTGGGCTACTGTAGAAACAAAATAGTGCAACTTGGCAATCTCCATGAAAGAGGACCAGCTCCCTATTGTGATATATACAGCTCACTTTAAGGTAACAAAAATACGATGATTCTTATTTTCAGGTCATTATAAACTGAAGAAAGCATACTTATTATATTATATTCCATTTCTGCCAATATATCCCCATAAATCCTACACACTGGACAATTAAGGGTGAGCTTTCGACTTTTTATGAACCTCCAGGAAGCTGTTGCCTACCTGATATAGAATTAGGTGTGTACTTTAGTTCTCTTCCCACTGCAACTGCACCATCGTCCACAGCTGTCATTAAACAAGAGGACCCGCTTTGCAGTGTGGAATCTGATATTTGCTCAAAGTGCCATATTTGACAACATTTCGACTTTGTGAACATCCCTAATTCGATTTTACAGGCCTGACATTAGAGACACATGAGACAGGAAAGCACTTAGGAGTCGTGGTAGTTTGTTCCAGGGTGGACGAGGGGAGCGAGGAAGAGAAGCTCAGCGGGGGGAAATAATGCCCCAGCTTTCGCTTGTACTTCAGGTGCCTCGTTGAGTGGAGGTAGCGGCACCTGTGCTCAGCTACAGATTATGTGACGACCAGGTGTCAGCCGGGTTGGGTCCGAGGTCAGAGTTGTCAGCATGATTCCTCCAGGGCATTGACAACCTGCTCCAGGATATCGGGGCAGTAATCTGCGATCTGCTGGAGAACAGAGTTGGCGTACTCCTGCAGCTCTCCGCTCTCCTTCTCACACACCTCCAGCTCTCGTTCCAACTGGAGAGACAAAGCATAAATTAGTTTCTCTCAACAGACTTTCAACCAGTGGAACTCTGCATTTTCTGCACGTTTTTCCTAAAATTTGTATATCTGGTCTCATACTTGTTGATTGCATGGAAACGGATTTCCATCTGTATGAGCATCTACTGATGCCAGATACTACACTGATATCAGAATAGAGAGCCCCCATCATCATGCAAATTAAAACACAATATTGGAGCCTGCTATGACTCCCAAACTGACTTTTTTTAAATGCACAGAAACAAAATCTTAATCTAAATCATGACATCAAGAAGGAGTAAAATGAGTAAAAACTTTCTGATTATCTTAAATGTGCCCCAAATTAGTTCAATTCATTCAATTATTATTAATTTAAAATCAAATTAAATGCTTTCTTTAGATTATTTTTTCCATTATACCTGTAATTTATATACTCGGGAAAAAAAAAAATATTACAAATTGGTAATTACACGTTACACTGAATAACTGAGAGTGACTGAGAGTTCCTTCGCTACCTGTTCGACACTCATCTTCTGGAGCTCCTCCTCCCAGTCTTCGGGGTCGCTGTGGTGGTAGTGAGAGGGCGGCATGAGCTGGCTGAGGATGCTGGGGTCCCGGTCGTGGCAGAGGTCTGTCAGGTGGGCGATGTAGAGCTTGAGCTTACTGCGGTTCTGGGACAGGGCTAGAAGAGGGGGTATCATCTGCAGGACGAGACGAAAGGAAAGAGAGTGTGAGGCAGTATGGAGTAAAAAGAGGAGAGACAAGGGTACATTTAAGTCTACACGTAAGATGTTTAACGAAGGACTGGTAATGCTTCCATTTCAATGATTGCACATCATGAAAGATCCAAGCACAAGACCCCAACAAGACAAGAGTGAAAAACAAAACACTATCATCTGCATGCACGCTTTTGAAACCATCACCATCTCACATTAGAGCCAGCCATCTTGGATGCATTATTAGAGTATGTATGGATTTTTTTTTTTTTTTTTTGGTGTATGTGCAGCTCAGCAAATTGTCGTACTCAACCACTGATTAGAGGTTCAAACCGTTATCCAATGCAACACCTGTTTGTGTGGATCAAAATGTGAGGAGCTAATCATCAGCGTCAGTGCAGGGGCATGCAAAGCTATGATGCTTCAGTTTGAGGTAACGAGACTGAGCCAGGATTAAAATCATCCTCTTAGCTTGTGCATGCAAACACACACCACATCCCTTAAGCCACTAAAAAGCAATAAATGAACAGTGTTAAAGGCGTAGGATGAGTGGTAAGATGTCTTTCTCACAGAAAGACCAAGCCAGCCATGATGACAAGGGAAGGAATGGCAAAACCACAATGAATAAATGACAAGTCAACATGCCACAGAGCAGCGATGAAGAAAGGTGTGTGAATGGTCTGGCTTCTCATACGAGCTCACCCTTCTGAACAAAATGGCTGAGAGAGAGAGGGGGAGGGCAAAAGGTCGGCTACGCCCAAATACCCTCCTCATCATCCTGTTAGCCACAAGGTAAGCCAATCGCAGCGTTACAAAGGAACATTTGGTTAGTGTGTATACAAACAGAGAAGTTGAAACGACAGAAGAACACTTCCATTTTAAAATTATAGTTCCCTTCAGATAGACACTAGTTCAGCCTCCAGACATTACATTGTTAACAAATTAGTTGCAGAATTATTAGAGAAGCTGTTCTAAATAAAAGGTGGGTGAGCTACCTGATCTGGAGAGGGTTTGTGATTTGTCTGGTCAGGAGCAGTCTTCAGATGGTCATCCTCGTAGTTGTCTGCCATCAGTTTCATTCTGTTCTGAGTCTGTAAAATAAAAATGGCAACAATAAAAAACACTTGAGTTACAAAATGAAGAGCTGAAGCTGGAATGGAAAAGTTACTCATGTATAAGCAGTCCTGGCCATCACTTACAACATCTGACTAACATGGAAGGCATCTCTTTCAGTCATTTCAGTTACCTAATTGATTTCATACTTGGGTGTTTTGTTGAAAACCAAAGGGAGTGCAGTGTTGAGTGTGAGCGCTTGTGACCTACGGGACATATTCATTAGTAGTGCTTTATGTCCACACAGTGTACTGTACTGAAAGGGCATTAGAGCTGAGTATCGTTTGTTTTTTTTGGGATACTAGTTATAAAATGATACTTTAAAAAAATGTTAGGCTAAATTTGCTTGCGATCTTTGAGGCAAACCCCTTTCATTGTAATCAACTGGTGGCAAGCAATTCGCAGGAACTTGTCTTGGGAATTGTAGAATTTATTCACTGACAGATAGCCTAAACTGTACACACAGTGCACTGCTACGTTTATCTTTATACTCTCTGCTCTCGTCACTGGAGCCTTATTTTCACGCTTTATCATCAGACATACACATGCTCACGCTCTCTCTTAGCTGCACACAATCTGGCACTGAAACATTATGATTCAGTCTGGTAGGTACCAGTCATATAGGAACCAGTGCCATATTGTCATTGGGTTTTGGTACCATAGCCCAGAGGGAAGCCCTATTGAATGTTACACTGCTAAGCAACTCCATCACTCACTACAGAGCATTCAAGAACAGATAAAGTAAGACAGACCGGAAAGCCTGGTCATGTGACACTGTTGCAAAATCAAACAGCAATGTAACTTTCAGGATGAACACTTCTGTTCTTGAAAATAGCAGAGTTTTAACTTAATCAATGTCATAAAATGTTTGTGTGAGCTTCTGCACTCAAATGAAACGTACACCAGCATTGCAAGGGGACGCAGATGTATTGCTCAATACCAAGGACACTGCGGTGTCAAGTGAAAACTGCAAGCAGCAATACTGGAGGCCAAGCACATTTTGAACAGACACTACACTAGTTTTATTCAATAGCATTATTGGTTTTGTGAGGTTTGTGGGTGTGGCTACAGCCTCAAATCAAGTCCAGCTATGCTGACAAGAATCAGACAAAAAGCCTTTTTCAGAGAGCACCTTTTGACTCATAGTAAGAAAAGCACAGGTGTTTCTATTCAAATGTCTCATTGATCCATGACAGTATGACACTGAACCAGCACGCACAATACCAGGACCCTGAAACTGAAGCAGTTACACAGAATTCATTATTTATTTTACACTTGTGTTTGTCCTACTGTGACATGTCAACATAACGGACAGGTCCCATCATCACAGCAGAAGTCGGCAGAACTCAAATATTTTGAGCATTAGGAAACATTTTGCAGCTATGAATAGATGCCCCCAGGATTGTTAAAAACTTAAAAGTTTCTGTAACCTTTAAAAATGTAAAACATTTAATATAAATGTGTATATAACTGCTTTCAATCTGTTTTTAACAGAACTGGACACTGAGTGAAGTAATTACTGGTTTCTATTTAAATCTTGCTTTATCTTTTACATAATAGCCCCAGTTTATATTTCAAAATAAACTGACCACATGAAAATAATTATAATTTCCAAAAATGATTCTGGAGGAAAACACTGTATATGTCTAAAACCTTTGTGCAGAGCCTGCGTACAGAGAAACAAACAGAACCCTGTTTAATAAGGAGCCATTGTTTCACTTTACTGTTTAATTGGCTCGTGGTTGAAGAGTGAGACAGAGAGAGACAGTATGATTTGAATCTAAATCCAGGAACTTCAAATACTGTTGGTAGAAAAAGTTAATCCCTCGTGTGACAGATAATCCTCATGAGACATAATTTACTGGTATTTGGCATGTATCTCTGCAGTGTCCCTGATGATAACAAACTATTGTCTCTGAAAAACTGTCTCTTCAATTTTTTTCTCTTCAAACACCCAGTCCCTGTGCTCTAGTCCCTACTCTCGAACATGTTCCGTGTGAGGGACGTTTAGGAAAGATAAATGCTAATAACATGAATGTGTGTGATCACAATGAGGCTCTCTGAACTATTGGAACATCTCAGTCATGATTTCCCCTCCACAGACACCAGCAGCCCCCATCCCACCTGCTGTTTGAGTTGCTGCACCAGTCTGTCCTTCTCCCGCTTCAGCAGAGCCACCTCGTCCTGGGTCTTCTTCTTCTTAGAGGAGGACAGCTCCAACAGGGCAATGTTAGCGTCCTTCTCGCTGATAGCAGCCAGCAGCGCCTCCTGCCTGTTTGGTGAGGATGAAACAACATGGCATTTAACCACACGAGTAAATAGCTCAATTAGCATTTATTATTCATTGCAGAAAATCATCCTGCCAGCTGGGGAAGGCCAGAATAGGATGACATTTTACAAGATGAAGGCAGCAATCGATACTCAGAGTCTGTTCTACCCTTGTGTGTACGTGTGTGTGTCTTACTTCATCTCCAGCACCTCCTCCAGGTGTTTCCTACGTTCAGCTCGCAGGGTTGAGAGGTGCGCTTCTTTCTCACACAGAGACTGCTGGGTGGAGGCCAGCTTGGCCCTCATGGACTCCAGCTCCTGCTTCACTTTCTCCATGGCCCCCAGCAGCTCCTCCATCTGGGAACACACAAACACACACACACACACACACACACACATACCAACAATTAAATCATAAATTGAGTAAAACAGATTACCTAAAACCAGCAGAGAAAGCTTCTTTGTTTGACTTGCCAGTATAAAGTGCTCTAATAAGAGGCAGGGGCAGCAGAATTCATATGGGCTTTTGGGAAGGGCTAGGGGTCAACTATAACACAGATACCATTAAAGAACTACAGCACGAAATTTTATTTACCTGGTATTCATTTAACAAAGGCACAAGAGTACCATTGTTTTATATCAGTACATACCCTTATTACAAGTGATTGAATGAAAGAGTAATCCATCCCCAATTGATCATTTCTATTGGCTACTTGATGTACGAGCCGACCATTTAATCTGCATTGCTATGTAAACGAACAGCAGGTAAACAAAATGGCATGAATATTACACAGGCTGGAAACAGCAACACCTACAAAATAATGCAATCCAACAACATCAAACTCAAATTCCCCCAAAATGATCAAACGTCACACGTACTGCAGGGTTGTTGTGTTATTGCATGAGTTGTGGAGGTGTTGCTGTTATTGTGTCCACCCCTGTTAAGTGTTGTTGCTCACTGATGGCGGGCACACATACTGGGCTCATACCTTTGACAACTTTAAGTGGGCGAGGTTGGACTCATGCATTGGTTTGAGTGAGTGCTTCTGAGAGGCAGTGTGTAGCGGAGAGAAAACAAGAGAAAACGACAAGCAAAGATAAAAGAACTGAGAAAGAGACGGAGGCCAGAGGAGAGGAGAGGAGAAACACCACAATGGCAGCAAAAAGACGAGGGAGAAAGAATCTCAGTTTATGAAGGCGTTTCTTTTTTCTGTTTATAGATGTGTGAAGATATGGAGGTACTGTATGTGTGATCCTTTGGGATAATTAATATTGCTTTGTCATGCTTTTGTGTGTGTGTGTGTGTGTGTGTAGTCCTGGAACGCAACTAAGTACATTTACTCAAGTACTGTCCTTAAGTATAAGTTTGACATGCTTGTTCTTTAATAGAGCATTTACATTTTATGTTTCTTTACACTTTCCCTCCACTACATTTATTTGACACTTTTAGTTACTCAGTGTTTCCCCTTGGATTTTTTCCCAGCAGGCGTGCTGAAGGGCCTCAGTTTTATTTTGCACCATTGGATATACAGTTAGTGTTTCTGCTGACACGAGAAGGGCTTCAGATTTATATTTGTACACAGCTGTAGAGGTCAACTTATGCTTAGTAAAATGCTTGTCATACCCCATATGCTGTTATAATCGCCCCTGCAACAGGAGGGGGGCAGATCTAACTGTTGAAATCTAGTGTTTCAATCAATATTGTGACTCTAGCACTGCCTGTAAAAACATTTGATTACGGGCAACAAGTAGAACACAGATACAAGTTACCTACATAAAAAATGTATCCAATTAGTTGAACAGGGTTTTGAGTAATGACATTAAAACCAAAACTTATTACTACTGTCCTAAACGAATATTGACCGATAACAATCTGTGGCAAATTGATCGGAGCACCCTTATCTAGTGGGGTTTGATTTTGATTGATAAGCCAAATGCAGATATGGGAAACACTGATTACTTTTTTACATTAATACTGTATATCATAGTCCACTCTTCACTTTACACTTTATTCCAGGGCTGGTTGGCCTTCTTTAACCTTTCGTAGGCTCAGTCACTGGTATTTGTTCATTTATAAAGCCATTTGTACTTTGACTGAACAGAGATCTGATTGTAGCTATAGTCGGAGATCTCAAGACTTGTTTTGTTGTCTGTTCCAAGTGCTCGGACTGAGCTGGGAAAGAAAGGTTTTATGTGCTCTGCTCCTCTCGTTTGGAACAAACTTTCAAAAAAAAGAGTTAAAACTACGTGAACTCAAGCTCAAGTACAAGGATGAATGGGTCCGCTGTGTCTTATCATTGTGCACAGGTCTTCTAATATTTCTACATGTTACTGTGTATCTTTTGTTTTTTATTGTGTGGTTGTTTGGCTGAAACTTTTTGTTTGCGGCAGTCTGTGCCAGGTCTGCCTTGTAAAAGAGATTGTTGATCTCAACGGGACTTACCTGGTTAAATATGGGTTTGAAAAAATAAAAATAAAGGAAAAAAAAAAAAAACAAAAACATATAATATGCTTATATGAGATGATGCAGTACTTTACTATCAATCTAGTGGTACACAAAGTATCTAAAATTGGCTCCACATTGACGAACTACAACATTAAAATGCTCTTATATGTGTTAGTAATAAAAACAGAATATTATAATACATTTTGCTGACAATACAGCTTTACTTTTACTTAAGTAGCATTTTGAATTCAGGACCTTTACTTAGGTTGGAGTATTTTTAGACCATGGTATATCTAAATTTACTTCAGTAAAGTATCTGTGTACTTCTTCCACCACTGTGTGTTCTGGAGGAGTTGTGTACCTGTTTCTCCTGGAGCGAGCGGGCAGCCTCCTCCTGTGCCAGCACCATCTCTCGCTCAGCAGTGATCTGAACACTCTCTCTCAGGGCCTCCTCCAGCTCCTCTATACGCTCTGACTTCTGACGCAGAGTGTCCTACACAACAGGAGTAGGAAGAGGTCAAATTATGTTGGGTTTTTTTGGACACTGATCTAGTGACTTTGTTCTAATGCAAGGTTAATACGAGGGATCTGCACTCATGCCCCACCTTCACCTGCTGGGAGCTCTCGGACATGTTGTCCTCCCTTTTCCTGGCCTCCTCCATGAGTCGAGCGTTCCTGCTCTTCTCCACCTGCTCCTTGTGCTTCAGAGACGCCACCTTCTTTGACTGGTCCTTCATCTGCCTACAGGAGCACCATAGCATACATTGGAGAAGTTACACGTTATGTACATGTATGGGTTAAACCTATGGTCCCACTTTATATGTTAATGGTTTTTTTTTTAAATTCAATTTGAAAAGCGATGTTAAGTACAGTTATGCACCAAATAAATTTGTCTGATTCCAAAGGGAGAGCTTTTTACTTCCAAAAATGGCACATCAAGTGCAGCAAGCATATTTAATATTTAAATTCTAATGTTTTGTTGACTCACATATTGCCACATCAATGATCACCCATGTTGAATGTTTTGATGCCAGTTATGATTGTAGCCAATTGTCAGTGAATACAGCATCAGGCAGCAAATGAAAGACATTTGCAAATCAAATGTGGACATAAATAGATGTCAGATGATGAGAATCTACCCTTTTTAAACACACTGAAATGACACTCAACAACCACAGCCTTGCAGAGCTGATTTGGCCAGATTTTTAACAGCCCTGCACAAAGTCAATGTAAGATTTTACTCAGGGTGAAAGACAGGAAAAATAAGAGAGCAAGAAGAGGAAAAACGGGCATGAACAGAAGAGGGAAGACAAAGAGTTCAATATGTCAAAACAAGGCAGTTGCTTGTGGCACCACATACTATGGCGAGGTAAGAGGTGGAGAGAAACTCAGGAGCGAAATGTGAGAAGAGAACAAAACAGATTAAAAGGATACTGGGGCCGGGGAAGAGAGAAAAAGAGCAGATACTAACCTGGAGGCCAAACTGGTGGGGTGAGAGATTTCCAGTGAAACGCAAGAAAGCAGTAAAAAGAAAAACAGACCAGGAAGATGAATCAAGTGAGGAAAAAGAGAAAGCAGGAGGGGAAGGGGGCTCATTCACATCAGCTGGAGGATTATGTGGTGACTCTGGTGTCATAAGATTTCATGGTTGACCACATACACATACAAGTGCAAGACAAAGAGAGCAGAAAGATGGCTTGCCTATGCAAACTATTATATCTGTATAACAGGTCTGCTAATAACATTCAGCACATCAGCTCTCAGAGCCACCAGGATGCAAAATGGTAGACAGCCAAATGACATTAGAATCCATTTTTTATGTGCTCGGGGAAACAATCTCCAGAGGGACATGATGTCATTGAAGGAAAATTTGCATCAGTCATGAGGAACAGTGGTCACAAGTCCAAGATAGCAGGGATGAAATAGAAAGCAGAGTGAAGCCATCTAACACCACAAAAAAAAACAACAGCAAGCAAAAGTCTCAATCATTAACTTCTGTAACACAAAGTCACAACAAAATACATACACTGTGAATATTGAAGACACTACCCGGGCTAAGGAACACAAACCACCTGCACATAAAACTAACACACATTCAATAAAAGAGACACATGTCAAATCTGACAGCCCCACAAGCCGAGTGCCATCTAGTTCCTTTATATTTAAGAGAAGACACACATCTCTACAGCCGATATCTCCAAGACTAGGCAACACACATCAAAATTTTCTAGATTAAAAAATAACACTACAGGTAAGAGAAGAATAATATATATTTTTGGGGTGAACTGCCCCTTTAACTACTCTCAAATAACAAGGCCAAAGCTTGAACACATGGCACACAAAAGAAAAGACTTCTGAGAGAGACTACAACATGCACGTTTCCACCAACCTCTCCAGCTCATTGATCTTTTTGTCCTTGTCATTCTTCTCATTCTCCATTTCCCGAAGGATCTCCAGCAAGCGGTCCACTTCAGCCTGGGCCTTCCCAGAATCCTCTTTGTGGCGGGCCACTTCCTGTTCGAGGTTCTTAATGCGTTCGGCCAGCTCAGTGTTAGCCTGAGCCTCCAGGGCTGCGTTTTGAGCCTGACAAAGGATGGGAAGCTGGTTAGCAAGCACTTGTATTCAGCATCCACAGTTAGGGGTTAGATAACAAACAAAATCACAGTCATATAAAAGTAAACATATAGCAGCATTATGTAGAGCTGTCTGGTTTCTTTATGTGAGGATCTCACTCTCTTAAGCTGATTCTCCACTTTGAGTAACTCCTCCCTCTTCTGCTCCAAGGCGATCTCCATACTCTTGAGTTTGGAGTCCTTCTTCAGCCCAGAGGAGGCCAGGGATGATGCATGCTCCTTCAGGTCCAGCAGAGACGTCTGCATACACACACACACACACATTCACAGAAATAGAGATGAACCTCTTCCAGCTCATTGAACTAACAGAGCATGGGACTGAGGAGACTGAAAATACATTAGATCTAATACAGGCACCCATGACTCATCGTAAAGTAAGACTAATGGAAAAAAAGCTGACAGTAATGTTTCACTGTATTAATAGAATCACAGTAAACAAGAGTTTGCCTGTCTTTGTGTGAGCTCGTGTTCCTGCAAGCGTTTCTCACCTCTCTGTCTGACAGGTCTCCCTGCAGTAAGCTCAGTTTCTCCTTCAACTCCTTCAGTTCCTTCCTGTTACAGTCAAGCTCCTCCGTCCTCTCCCGATCGTCTCTGTCTCGCTGCTCTTTTAGACGCTCGATGATGCGCTCCTAGGAAGAGGTAAAGAATACCATCTCACATGCTGCCTTCACAGACATAACTGATCAACATACATACGCTGCTACAAATAAGGACTCAGAAAATAAATACAATGTACAATTTGTGCAGACATAGACTCACTTTTTCTGCAAGAGACTCCTCCAGTGTGGTGAGAGCTGTGTCAGTGTTGGAAGTGTCCGCCTGCAAAGACTTTACTCTCTCCTTCAGACTGCTCATCTGCTTTTCTTTGTCCCTCAGCTGCTCCTGCAGGTTCTCAATCTGTGAGCAAACACAAGTACCGTCCGTCAAAACAAACAACCACAGGACACACATTTTAGAAGGATGACGAATGCATGCGGTCATTTCAGACAACACAATCCTTGAAACAGTTCTTAGTCCAAATCACCTTTTTCTGGAGCACATTGACTTTGCGCTCCTTAACCTCCAGCATGTCCTTGAGGTCGTGGATCTCCCCATTGAGCGTGCCCTTCTCTTCTGACATTTCTTGTATCTGCTTGCTCTTCTTATTCAGAGTTGTCTCCTTCTCTTCCAAGCGCAGGCGCAAGGCATCCACCTGGTCAGGGAGAAGTGACCAACTAAAGTGTCATACTCACAAAATCAAAGTGGTCAAAAGCAAAGGAAACAGGAAAATGTCCTTCACATATGGTAACTAGGATTGGGTATTTAACTCAGTACTTTTAAGGGTACTGACTGAACTACATTGCTACTACAAGGTCACGATTCACATTATATCCATAGGTACCAAATGTCAATACCACTCAGGATGACCTACCCAAACGATGTACGCATTTGCAATGGGTTTAAGAGCTGAAACAATATATTCCAGAAAACACACCCATACTTTTAACCATATTTATAAAGGAATTTGTACCTTCTTACATATATTTCCTACTTGACGAAACTACCTACTCTACTTTTAACTATATTTATAGAGGGCGTGGTCCATTCCAATAGATCTATCACTACTGTTGGGTCATTCTGAGTGGGTAACTCTATTTATTAGTACAACTAGTTTAGACAAGAGGTACAAGTGCTGTGAAGTGCCCAGAAGCCTGGAAGCCAGTCAGAGTTTCTGCATCCTGTTTATTTTATTTTCTATATTATTTTATAGCCTAGTGTCACTACTATACGAGTACACACACGCCCATGCACATAAACACACACAGACAGACATACAGAGGCAGAAGATTGCCTCTATGTGTGATTACAAAAGACAAGAGGAGCAGAGCTGTGTTTTAGTCTACTATGTCACCTCTGCAGCTTGTTCAAAAATTACATTTTTGTTATAAAAGAAAAAGTAAAGTATTGAGAAAAAGGTACTGTTGGGTTCCAGTACCAAATTCCAGGTTCACAGTTTTACTGTGAACAGTACCCAACCTCAGTGGTAACATCTGTCCTTTTGTTTGTAGTATTATTGGTCAGAAGAAGAAAGGACAAGTCTTTTTCCTCGCTCCACAACATATGTACCTCTAAAGTGCTCTTGCTTTACACCTATGCCAAAGTCCTCTGGGCAACAGTACATACATACCTCTGTCTGTAAAATGGCAGCTCGCTGCTCCTTGGCAGTGAGGGACTCCTTGAGAACTTCGATGTGCTGCTTGCTGTCAGAGAACTGGTTGGTGAGCGTCTCCAGCTTGGTCTGCAAACCAAGCAGCTCGGTGTCCTTCCTCGAGAGGTCCTGCTTCACCTGCTCCATCTGAAAAAGGCGAGGCCATTGGGGGGAAAAAAGAGGGAGGGAGGAAAATGAAAGTCTGAGTCTCACTTCTAAATTTAAGATTTACCACAACAGTTCAGTCAAATTAAACTCCATCTCACGCTGTCACGGACCTTGTTCTTCATGAATTTCGTGTGGCTGCGGTAGACCTCCATCTGCTTCATCTCCTCCTGACGCTCCTCACAGCTCAGGAGTCCATTGGATTTCAGCATTAGCAGCTCCTCCTCCATGTCTCTCATGCCCCGCTCCATTGAATTGATTTTTGCATCCTGGGGTTGATGAAGAGGAATTCACAGACACAGCATGAACATGTGCGATCAGACATTGCACAAACATACTCACTCACACTCGTTTATTTAAATCCTCACCTTCATGTCGATAACAGTCTGTAAAGCCTTAGTTTTGGTGGATTCAGGGGTTCCCTCATAACGACGATGCAGCTCCTTTTGACAGATGAAGACGAACACGTTTTATGTATGTAAAAATAACTACAATGATGAAATGTAATGTTACATCTCCCATGGGTGGACTGGATATTACCTCTCTTAGTGCATTGATCTCTCTGTCCCTCTGGTCCAGTAAACTCTCAAGGTGATGTCTGTGCATCTCTGCATCAGCCAGTCTCCTGGTCCGCTCCTGGTCCTCCTCTGATGCTTTGGCAGATGGCCCTGAGACAGAGTGTGCAACACCTTGGTTACCATGATGAAGTAGGTGAAACGACATTCATTTCATCTATCAAAGATATTCTGTGATGTTTAAATGGGTTTTGGGCTTCCTCTTAGTTTCCTGCATCTGGTTTGTAAAGTGTGATGTCTCTGATATTTTGTGTCACCAAAGGACACACACCTATACAAAGGCCTCTGCATGAAGAAGTCAGAGATTCCTAGCCTGAGAAGCATGCTTGGGTTAAAGCATGCATTGTGGTTAGTTTATGGAGCACAGAAACCCATATTTGGCCAGCTGAGGAAAGAGCTTGGGTGGAGCTGAGGGGGGGAAAGCAAGCTGCAACCATCACAGCTTTAAATGATTGCCTGAAACCAAAACCTGAGATCAAAAATGTTTGTCAAAGAAACCCAGTGACTTGGTTTCCTGTTGTCTTAAATGCTGTTTTGCAAACGAATCAGAAACTACTGGGTAACAACAACTGCTCCATAGCAACGCTCTGCACTGGCTTCAACATTCAGCCAGGGTGATATACTTTGGAAGGATCAATTAGCTTCAAACGTCTCTCCTGAGGCTCAACCCCACCTTTGCTCTGTAGCATCTCCAGAAGTTTCTTGATGGACTCATCTCTGGCTCCCAGGGTTTGCTTCTGTGTGTCGATCCTCAGCTCCATCTCCTCCAGGGTCTTCCTGAGGAGGAAGAGCTCTTTGGCCTGCCTCTCGTGCTCGGCCTGTAACCGTCGGTAGTTCTCCTCCGTGGGTTCAGATGTTAGGGCCAGGTCCCGGCCCTGGATGGCGGGGTCTTGCTGGAGCAGCTGGTTCAAGTCCCTCTGGATCCTCAGCTCATCTTGAAGAGCTTGAACAGTCATCTGAAGATGCTAGAAACAATCAAGAGACACAAATGTATTTCTTGACATTCATCTCGTCTTCTGTTTGTTTGTTGGACTTTATTACAAAATGATTTACATGAGGGTTAGATGAGGTGAGGGAAATGTATGTATATTGATTATCTGAACAACACAGGGGCTGCTCCCATCCCACTTTATTGTTATGGATCCTGTCAGAATATTGTGTTACAGCATGTTAAAAATCAGCCTCTAATCATGACTGAAAATTCAGCAGTGCCCTGACAGATGCATCCACAACAGCAGGGCTTTGTGGACAGTGTTACGTTTCATGCCCAGAGAAATACAAGTGGTGAAACACAATCAGCCCCGTATAGTATTGCATTGTTTGTGGCATCTGACGCCACGGACACTTGGCAGAGCTGCTGTGAGACAGTGACACAAGGCTGTGTTACACTCTGGTCTGAACCAGCTGTGAGCATTTGCAGACGACAGAACAAAGAGAGAAGTCAGTGTCTGCCTTCGTTTTTCTCTGTCCTCCTCCAGCCCCCTCCCTTTTTCTTCCTTTGTCATGCTCTCCTTCTCCCTCCCCCGGCACACACACTATTCTCCCCATCACACACACTATTCTCCTCATCACACTCACTATTCATCTATACCTTGCTTCTTGTCCTATCTCTTCCCTCCAATACTCTCACCTCTCCTCTCACTAACCCTCTCTCTCCATCACCCTCTCCACCCCGTGACTAAGGCTGACTCACTGCTGTGACTGCACCGATCCATCCCCCCTCCACATAAACACAGGCAGATGCATGCACGGACAAGCATGGAAAAACACATACACACACACACACACCTCCTCCCATCCTCAGCTCACATATTCTCACTTTCTCTGCCTGAGGAGAGATAACAGTCAGGCGTTTGAGAGAGAGCACAAAGAATAGGAGATGTGATGCACCAACTAAACTGATCCAAACACTAGGACGCAACTCCTGAGGACGCAGTGCACACAGAGTCAGACCTCTGCTACCAGTCAAAATGGTAAAGATGCTCAGTGTGTGATGCATACTTTTTTGATTCTCCCTCTCTCCTATCTGCTCCACTAATATGTGCACTACTGTAAAACAGTTGATCACTGGCAACTCACAACATCCTGTGATAAATGTGATATTTTATCCATGTGGGAAGGAGGGTTTCGCAAGAAATAACTGATGATGATTAGGTGGTACACACTATTACAGACTAGATAATAGCAGTTACTTATCAAAAAGACTGACGGGCATAACTGCCTTGCAGAAGGGATTTTTGGAAAAGCTGTGACCAGCACTCGCATCACCATGGTGAGCACAGAAACAGAAATGGCACACATGAACATACAATTGCAGACGTATGCACTGGACCTACATATAATGAGGGCATGCAGCTTAACTAAGGTGGTAATTAGCCAAATGCCTTTGTATGTGGTTGTGTGTGTGTGTGTGTGTGTTTTCTGCTGCATGCGTGCCAGCGTGGGAGGTGGAGGCTGACATATGAAAGCAGACATCTTTAAATTACAGCACCCACTGATTAGTTCTGTGCTAGTCTGGCATTACTGGGAATTAGTCCACAGTGTGATTCTGTGACTCAGCAGGAGTGAAAACAGCAAATTATACACATCTGCCCATCCATTAAGAATCGCAGTGAAACAAAGACTATTTCTCTTCATTAATGACACTTAATTTGCACAACAAACTGTAGGGTTTAAACACAGACCTCGTGCCTGTACTTATTCACTCATTCTTACGAAATACATTTTTGTTTAATTTGTGCATACAGTGTGTTGTGTGCTGACACAGACTGCTGAACAAGGAACTGGACTCAAATTCTACAAAGCTAGTGTCTCTATTCTTTAGATCTAGAGCCAAGGAAATTAAAAAACCTTGTGAAAAATTGTCACCAAAGTAATAAAAAGGGAATGGAGGGGATATGAAAATGCTGGGTTTCTGCTGCTGAAATCAGAAATGAAGGTATTTGAATGAATGGCACCACAACTTCAACTCTAATCAGTCCAGTAGACTGTTGTATCCTTCATTTTGATATTTCGAAAATATGATTAAAATGTTGGAAGTAAAGTTTTTATATAGACTTCCTTTGAAAGATAAATGTATAACTGCTGTTCTTAAACAACACATAAAAGTGCTATTTAAAACTGCTCCTTTATTACTGCAACTTGTGACAACACTCTTAAGTTGGTTTCTTATTTTCTGCAGTGGTTAAACTAATACACACATACACAGTTTTAAATTTGCACATTCCCCACATTTTCCTCCTGTTCACCACATCCAGCGATTTCTAAAACATACAGAAATGCTAATGCAGCCATTAGACTTACGGCCTCTTTCATCTATTAAGCATGAGCATATAGCTGCATATAAGAGGATTAACTAGATGTTAAAAACCTGCCTCTAGCCTGAGCAGAGAGAGAAGAACGAGAGAGAAACACACTTGCACTAAAGCTGACACACTGGGTGAAATGCATTTTTTTACAGCTGTACGTGTTCGACCTCGGCAGACTGATGACTCCGTTTTGATTGATAAAAATAACTTGATGAGATCAGACACGGATAATTTTAAAGCAAAAACATCTATTGAAATGAATACAAGGGAACACTGACCTGTGCTTCATCTTGAATCACACGGTACTGTTCTTTCCAGACAGTGATCTTAGAAACCTCATCTTTCCTGAGAGCTCGCTCCTTTTTCAATTCTGGGCTCCAGAAAGTCTTGATAGAATTCATGGAGGAGCTGAGCTTGCTCTCCTTAACTTCCACTTCTCGACGCAGCATCTCATTCTCACGCAGAACCTGAGAAAGCAGGAAAAAGGAGTAGAACACAAATGCTGTGATGTGGTCTGTCGAACCAAGCAAGTCAACCTCTGATCAGAAATTCCAAATTATTTACAGAGAAAATCTGCAAACTTTGAGAAAAAATAACAAAATACCTCTTTCAGTTGGGCCTGCAGGTCCAATATTGTGTTGTCTCTGGCCTGCCTTAGAGAGTGGGGCACAGTCGAGGCCATGTGGTGGTCCCCAAAAGCCAGAGCATCACCTGCCATCATGCCTGCTGGCAGCACAGCATTGGCTGGCACTGTGGTGGAGATGTTGGGGGTGCTAGCAGCCACGACTCCACTGCTGCTACCCCTTGACCCATATGTCACCCTCTGTCTCCCCATGGTCGTCACTGTCCCACCAGTTTTGGGAAGATGGTCGCCTGCCATGGCCACCTCATTGTCACTCAGGTACATGGGTCCTGAGGTGGCGTACGCAGCGTTGAGGGACTGGATGTTCTCCATGGAAAGTGTCTTGCCTCCTGCTCCACCAGGACCCCCTCCACTGCCTCCAGTGCTGTTGGTGCGACGATGTCCCATCCGAGGAGAACGGGGAAGGCGAGGGGAGCGGCCAGATCCTTGATTACCGGTGCCACCTCCATCTCTTCCACCACTATGGTTGGCATCCCCTCTGCCAACAGAGCGGGCACTACCGTACATCTTCTGCTAAATAGAAGAATGGAGCTGACAGCAAAACTTATGACCCCAAGTATCTGTATAAATTCTTGCCGATTTTGTGATTGGGGCTGTCACCAGCTGTGTGAATATGAGGTGGTGATCCTGCTTCAACTTGAGTCGACGGGCGCAATGTTCATGATAGAATAGAGGTCTGATGCTCTCCACTTTCTGGGGCAGACAATGCTGACAGATTTCCTCTTCCAACAGGGGCTATCCAGTGTTACAAATAATGACACCAATCTGCAAAGAAAACACAGTTGTTCTCTATAAATTGCACGGCAATAGCATGAATAAAGCACTGGTTATCAATTGATAAGACAAGAACCACATGCAGTATCAAAATCCAGCTGCATCTGCATCAAACTCTAGCCACCCCATATCAAACAACATGCAGTCCACTGGGAGTCATTAAAGGGGTCTGTATCTATCTCCAGCACAATGGGCAGTGGTGTAGTGGAGGGTATATGCAAGTATACGAGGCATGCCCACCTTTATTTCTTGCAGTTTTCAGTATACCTACCAATCAGCCAAAAATCTGTTGGAAATACATTTGAGCGTAAACCCACCTTCTCCTCAGCAACCTCTCCATCTACCTAGTAGTACACCCACCTCCTAATCTACCACTACACCACTGAAAATAGCATCTAGTACATTTAATATTTGGTTGACTTTTTAACATACAGCACAATGAGAGTGATTAAGGATGTCCATTGTTGTTTTCACTGTCTTAACTGGATCCCCTCCTGCAGTACAGACAGTTATGTAACTGTTTAAAGTCATGTCTAAGAACAAAATTATTCTCAGATGGTTTCCTTTAGACAAAGTTACTGCTAGTCCATCTATAATGTACATATAAATACACTATATCTACCTGATAACACAGATGTGGAACAGTATTGGAGCCACTGATTTTAGGTTTATTCTCAACAGAGGTTAAGTTAAATGCTGTATCGTTGTAACCGTTGGTAAGTCATAACCGTTATGTCAGCCTTGTCACACAACTTGGCTTAAAATGTCGAAATATAACGTTACGAGCGGGTTTAAATGTACGGAAATGTGTCAGACTATGTTGGTTTGTGATTCATATTTGGTTTTTAACTGAATTTCCACCCCAGCCATTTAACACTGGATAGTCTGCGTGGCCTTGCTAGCAGCTAACGTTACGTTAACATACCGGCTAACAGTAACGCCTGACATTTCTACTTTTAACGTCGTGTTATCTTTAAATAGTTGTCGTTTGCTTGACGTGTATTTAAAATACTTGGTATATTTTGTCTGCGGGATAAATCCTGAAGCTCCCAGTCATTTCCCAATGTGCTGACGCTATGGATTAAAACTAGCAAGGGAGGGAAAAAGGGATTGTCCATGGTGGACATTGTCAGGAAAAAAAATCTTACTGCTCGCACAACTGAAGGCAAATTGAAATAACTGTCTGTCAAATTATTAGCTAGATAGCTGACTTGATAAGTTCATAAAATGTGGTGTCAAAATGTAACACACTGTACCAAAATCAAAGCCTTTTGCACAAGCCTAACGATACGGTTCAGGGTCTGCTTTGGAGACACCCACATCAAACCATATCCATTTTCCCCACCTCTACTGAACGGCTTTTCATTTGAAGCTTCGTTTTTTTCATTCAGAGCTTCTCATACCTAGCTGTGAGTCTGGTGACTATCAAGGAGAGAGCTAAAATATCAAATGCAAATACGCTTAACGTTAGCTCGCCGTGACATATGGAGGCTAGTCCATCCAATCTATGTGGTCAACCAGAACCTCTATTTTTTCTCGCTAACACAATAGCCAGTAGTGAAAAACCTCTCCAAATAAACTACCTTTCTCGTTGTCTGGTGGAGCTCAGACCGGTGCCACTACTGAATCCTCTGTCGATCGGAAATCGGCTGCAAAACCCGTCATTTTACGTTAAATACTCGATAGATGTCTATCTGATTTTCCCATCTTTTCGCCAGCAGTACCAGCGGCTCAGGAGAGCCAGGGCGCCTCAGTGACGTCAAGCCTCCTGTGCGCGTTCACGACAGTCTTCCTCGCCACGCTTGAATTTTAAACGCGCGGTCACGAGCTTAGTGGTTGGTGAGTGTGGACAGCAACGGAAATCAGAGTGACCAACATTTTGACCAAAACACACAGCTTTCAATAAATATCGCGAGATTAGTAAAAGTTGTGGTTAACTCTGAAGTCTCAAAATTAAATTTAGTAGTCAGCAGGCAAAAACGTCAAAGTAGTTTAACACAATTTATGATATCAACCTCTAATACTACCAATAAAATATTAGACATTGTCAATATACTGTCTCTAGCAGTGAGTTTTTCATTTTGTGTTAAATAATATAAAAGAAAATACATATGTCATGCTTAGTCAACAACTACCAGCAGGGGACAGTGCTTACCTGTAGGAAATCTTCATCTCTGAAATGGTTGCTCAAAAAATACACATATGCTGATTGTTTTCCTGTTTTACAAATTGTATAAACAAAATT